AAAAAAAAAAATTGTACCAAAAAAAAAAATAAAAAGAAAAAAAAATAAAATATTTTCTTCCCCAATATTTGCGGAAAGAAAATATTATATTATTTCCATATAAAACTAATACTGGTTTTATCGCTCAATGAGTCCATAACTAATTATATTAGGGTTGTTTTCCTATTTCAGCTCCAACAAGGAAAAACAAATCCCCCATTAAGACTACTTCACCAAGATTTCATCTTTTTGTGATTTTCTTTTTTCCTTACTCTCCTTCTTCCTCTGTTGATCTCCGAAGATGGAGCAGCAAAATCGGGAAAATTCCGACAACGGTGACCGGAAAACGAGTGACGGTGATATTAAAGAAGAAGATCAAGAGGTTAATAATTCCCCGGAATCGATGATATGTGGCCCGACAGCTCCGGAAAGGAGGCATCAGTGTAAGGAGTGCGAGAAGAGTTTCAACTCAGGCAAGGCTTTAGGAGGGCACATGAGCAGCGCCCATGTCCAGGCCAGCAAGGATTACTCTTTCAACAAGCTCAATTCCAAGATCACGGGCTCCAGCTCTCCGGGGCCCGGCCCCGAGTGCCCCATATGCGGAAAGCGGTTCCACTCCCAGAAGTCGCTGTATGGGCACATGCGGTGCCACCCGGATCGCGAGTGGAGAGGGATGGAACCCCCGCCGACGACGAGTCCGGATGATTTTGCCGATACTCTGAGGGGATGGCCTGTGAAGGCCATACGAGGCAGCCGCGTGCCGCCTGCTAAATCCCAGGATATTTCAAGCTCGGGTGAGGATGATGGAGGTGTTTGGGCTGGGCACGAGCTTCTGAGGTTGCTCAAACGGAATCTCGACAGTTGTGGTGGTATCGATAATGGGCATCCCGGATTGGTTAATGGGGCCGGGTTTGGAAACCCAACGGATAGCACGGTTGATTTCAAGATCATGGACTATGATGATGCTGTGAAGAAAGTAGCAGCTTGTGGGTCTGAGGTTAATCACGAGCTCGGACCAGAAACCTTGTATTCGGAGATTAAGGCCCAAGATTCCAAGAGGCAGAAAATATGGAACACCAATGGCAAGATCGAAAGCTGCGGCAAGGGGAAAGATGAGATGGGCGAAAGTAAGGGCAAAATACTATCTGGGCCCGAAAACCCTAACAGCACTGAATTCGAAAACGACCTCTTTTTCACG